CCGGCTGATAAGCAATCTGTAAGGTAAACAAAGTTTTGCATTAAGCTATCTATGCCGAACTGCCGAATTAATAAGCAGCAACATATTTATCCGCATGAAGTCAAACAGATTTTCTGGAAAAATGTGGGTTTCTAGAAAATATTGATTAACAATTTAAGGAGTTTATAAAACACAAAAAGCATTTCAAAAACTTCCTACATACCCCAATCCTACACCTCCACAGTGATCCTAAATCAATGTTTCAACATTCAAACTCTATCGGTTCACCCACAATTCAAATTGTACCAAATTTAGTACACAGTAGTCCGAATTTCAAAAACTTCCATCTTAACCCAAACCAACAACCCCACCGTGATCGTAAATTAAAGTTTCAGGATTTAAACTCTTTCGGTACATCCACAATTCAAATTGTACCAAATTTAGTACAGTAGTATGAATTTCTAAAACCTCCTTCTTACCACAAACCTACACCTCCACAGTGATCCTAAATCAAAATTTAAGGATTCCAACTCTATCGGTTCACCACAATTCAAATTGTACCAAATTTAGTACACAATAGTACCAATTTCCAAAACTTCCTACATACCCCAATCCTACGCCCCCACACTGTTCCTAAATCAAAAATTTCAGGATTCCAAGTCTATCGGTTCACTCAAATTTAAAGTTGTACCAAATTGTACCAAATTTGGTACACTTAGTACACATTTCTAAAACTTCCTACATATCTAAATCTTACACCCTCACAGTGATCCCAAATCCAAGTTTCAGGATTCCAACTCTATCGGTTCACTCACAATTCAAATTGTACCAAATTTAGTACAAATTAGTACCCATTTCCAAAACTTCCTACATATCCCAATCCTACACCCCAATAGTGATCCTGATTACAAATTTCATAATTCTAGCTCTATTGGTTCACCTAATATTCAAATTGTACCAAATTTAGTACCATTTAGTACCCATAAGTTTTATTTTCTTAAACTTACATTTAAACATTTAGTACTCATAAGTATTATTTTCTTAAACTGAATCCTTACCCCAATCCCCTACAGTAATCCTGACCTCAAATTCCATTCTTCCCGCTCTATTGGTTCACCCAAATCTAAATTGTACAAATTATAGTACGACACATAAGTAACAAATTTTTTCAAAACTACGTACATATCCCAATCCTACACTCCGACGGTAATGTCAATTTCACATTTCAGGATTCCAACTCGATTTGTATCTTCAAATTAAATTTGTACCAAATATAGTACCATATAGTACTTTTCGTACACATGAGTACACGCTTTCAAAATCATCTCCGTAAATAGACTCTACATCTTAACCCTAATTCGCATTCGAAATTTCGAGTTTTTAGCTCTATCCATTCACATGTTACGAAATTGTACTAAAATTAGTACATTTCGTATAGTTATAGTTCGAATTTCCAAAAACCCTTTGGTACATCTATCCTACACTCCATCAACGACCACAAATCCAAAATTCATAGTTCTAGCTCTACCGGTTCGCCAAATACAAATGGTATCACATTTAGTACTTTTCGTACCGTTCTATTACGAATTTCCAAAAACCAAGCCTTATCTGTCACCTTTGGACCAAGAGTGACCCTCACCTAAAATTTCAAGACATAGCCATGCCCGTCCGTCCGTTGTAATCACTCTACCATGTAAACGAATTGAGATAGATCGCCAAAATTTTGGCGATCTATCTCAATAGGTAAAGTTCGAAGATGGGCTTTATCGGTCCACGTTTACGCTCCCATATAAGTGTATCCCCCAATTTTCGGTATTTTGAGGTTCTTGAGCGCGTTTTTCAACTGAATTCGCTGAAATTTGGTACATTATGTTCTTATCGGGTAGCAAATCTCTCCACTAAAAATTATAAATATGCGTCCATATTTTCGGATAGCCCCGATATAAGGGTACGCCCAATTTTGCGGTATTTTTGGGGGGTTTGATCGCATTTTTCGACCGAATTTGCTGAAATTCGGTACTTTGGGTTCTTATTGGGTAGCAAATCTCTATACTAAAAATTATAAATATAGGTCATTTTTTTCGGGTAGCCCCCTTATAAGGGTACACCCCAATTTTCGGTATTTTAGGGTTCTTGAGCGCGGTTTTCAACCGAATTCGCTGAAATTTGGTACACTGGGTTCTTATAGGGTACCCACTAAAAATTATAAGTATAGGTAAATTTTTCGGGTAGCCCCTATATAGGCTACCTCCCAATTTCCAGTTTTTGGGGTGTTTTTACCGGATGTTTTTACCGAATTGGCTGTAATTTAGTAATTTGAGTTCTTATTGGGTAGCAAATCTCTCCACAAAAAATTATAAATATAGGTCAAATTTTTAAGGGTAGCCCCCCTATAAGCGTACCCCCAATTTTCGATATTTTGAGGTTCTTGAGCGCGTTTTTCAAGCGAATTCGCTGAAATTTGGTATTTTGTAGTCGTATATGGTAACAAATCTCCCCACCAAAAATTATTAATATTCACCCCTTTTTAGGGCTAGTCCCCATATAACCCCCTTTTTATACCCTTCACCTCTCTGTGGTACAGGGTATTATGTCTTTGTGCATATGTTTGTAACAGGCAAAAGGAAAGGAGATAGACACATGGTTCCTTTTGAGAATATGCATTGAATCACTTTCTGAGCCGATTTATGCATGTCCTTCCGTCCGTCTGTAGATGTTAAATTGTAAACAAAGTACAGGTCGCACAAGCCACTTATCGGGATTTATGATAAATGGTGTACCATAGTCCCTATATATCCTTCGATTTGCACGAGTTTTGGCATAACGTACTGAATTAAGGCTAGAACGATGTGTGTTAAGTTTCGTGAAAATCGGTTCCGATTTAGATATAGCTCCCATATATATTTTCGCCCGATTTAAGGTAAATGGTGTACCAAACTCCATATGTATCTTTCAATTTACACGAAATTTGGCACAGCGTAATGAATTAGATCTAGAATGATGTGTGTTAAGTTTCGTGAAAATCGGTTCAGATTTGGATATACCTCCCATATATATTTTCTTCCGATTTAATGTAAATGGTGCACCAAAGTTCCTACATATCATTCGATTTCCACGAAATTTTGCACAGCGTAATGAATTAGGTCTAGAATGATGTGTGTTAATTTTCGTGAAAATCGGTTTAGATTTAGATATAGCTCCCTTATATATTTTCGTCCGATTTAATGTAAATGGTCCACCAAAGTCCCTATATAGCTGTCGATTTGCACGAAATTTGGCACAGCGTAATGAATTAGGTCTAGAACGATGTGTGCCAATTTTCGTGAAAATCGGTTCCGATTTAGATATAGCTCCCATATATATTTCCGTCCGATTTAATGTAAATGGTGCACCAAAGGCCCTATATATATTTCGATTTGCACGAAATTTGCCACAGCGTAATGATTTAGGTCTAGAATGATGTGTGTTAAGTTTCCTGAAAATCGGTTCCGATTTAGATATAGCTCCCATATATATTTCCGTCCGATTTAATGTAAATGGTGCACCAAAAGCCCTATATATATTTCGATTTGCACGAAATTTGGCACAGCGTAATGATTTAGGTCTAGAATGATGTGTGTTAAGTTTCCTGAAAATCGGTTCAGATTTAGATATAGCTCCCATATATATTTTCTTCCGATTTAATGTAAATGGTACACCAAAGTCCCTATATATCATTCGATTTCCACGAAATTTTGCACAGCGTAATGAATTAGGTCTAGAATGATGTGTGTTAATTTTCGTGAAAATCGGTTTAGATTTAAATATAGCTCCCTTATATATTTTCGTCCGATTTAATGTAAATGGTCCACCAAAGTCCCTATATAGCTGTCGATTTGCACGAAATTTGGCACAGCGTAATGAATTAGGTCTAGAACGATGTGTGCCAATTTTCGTGAAAATCGGTTCCGATTTAGATATAGCTCCCATATATATTTCCGTCCGATTTAATGTAAATGGTGCACCAAAGGCCCTATATATATTTCGATTTGCACGAAATTTGGCACAGCGTAATGCTTTAGGTCTAGAATGATGTGTGTTAAGTTTCCTGAAAATCGGTTCAGATTTAGATATAGCTCCCATATATATTTTCGTCCGATTTATGGTAAATGGTACACCCAAGTCCCTGTATATCTTTCGATTTGTACGAAATTTGGCATAGCGTAATGAATTAAGTATAGAATGATGTGTGTTAAGTTTCGTGAAAATCGGTTCAGATTTAGATATAGCTTCCATATATATTTTCGTCCGATTTAAGGTAAATGGTGCACCCAAGTCCCTGTATATCTTTCGATCTGTACGAAATTTGGCATAGCGTAATGAATTAGGTCTAGAATGATGTGTGTTATGTTTCCTGAAAATCGGTTCAGATATATATATAGCTCCTATATATATTTTCCATTGATTTGAGGTATATAGTGTACCAAAGTCCCTTAATATCTTCCTGTTTGCACGAAATTTGGCACATGAATTAGGTCTAGGATGAATTAGGTCTAGAGTGATGTGTGTTAAGTTTCGTGAAATCGTTGAAATCGGTTTAGATTTAGATATAGCTTCAATATCTGACCAAATGAAAAATTTAGTATAGGTTGCAGAATGACATGTTTATGGATCCAATTTCATTTTACTGGTTCTTTAAAAATGCGACGTTTGTTATCATTGATCTGTTGAATATACCCAAAGTTGTGAAGAGTATCATATTGCCGGCACCGTCCGATTTTACTACTCTCCTTACTGGTTTCAAAATATTTTTTCAAGGCTCCCAAAGAGGCGTGGATTTTTTTAAAGAATATTTTTTCAAGGCTCCCAAAGAGTCGTGGATTTTTTTCAAAATATTTTTTCAAAGCTCCCAAAGAGAAGTGGGTTAATTAAACATAATTTGTCAAGGCTCCCAAAGTATTTTTTTAAAATATATTTTATTAAATAATATTTTTTTAAATTAATCCTTATAAAATATCTCTTAATCGCTAAATTTGTATTCTTCATCTCCCCCTCATAAAACTATTTCCGTAGGTAGCTATGTATGGCCTCTCTTCGGTGGGACATAGAAATCTCTCAAATGGCTCCCTAAAAACGGATTCCTTTTGCCCAGGTGCCTGCAACATATTATTCCACAACTCATTGGCCACAGCGGCATGTCCCAGTTGACTGAAATGAAAACAATCACTGGCCAGGAAACGTAAATCCGTATCACCATTTTCCAGGATGGGCAGGCTAACATTGGCTGTAAACGATTGATAAAGCACCACAAATTCCTTGGTATAGAATTCCGGTAATGAGGCTACATATTCATCGATTTTTTGCCATCGAGATATAAATTTTGAAATATTCTGCAAATATCTCTTCGAATAGGTCTCACTGAAGACACAATGGCAACCGACACTGTGCACCGCTTGACATAATAGGGGGATATTTTGCATTCTCCTCAAGGTGTTGACCATATTGGGTGCGGGAATTAAATTCACCACCAGTCGGGGAATATTTTCTCGCAGTAAAGTAAAGGCTTGTCGCAAATCCTCTTCATGTTGGCGCAGAAAATTCCATAAATTATCATGATGACACATATCCGAACAGATATCATTATTACCCACAAATATTGTCAATAGCTTCCAATGGCGCTGCATATCAATCTTAGGGTCCTGGCGCATTCGTTGTATTAAAACTCTAACCTGATACACCAAATCCCGTGACATCACCATTGGTTCGGCAATGTTGAGGTAGGCTTCACGATCCACAGCAACACCATCCTGCGTTGAAAATCCATACAGGTTGGGGTTGAAGACCTTTAAAATATTCGGCAGTGTCAGAATGGTTCGCCAATCGGCAACACCACCTCCCGAGAATGTCACACCACGATATTCTGTGGCAACATCCATGAGAGTTTCTGAAATGGCACCATTACCCGCCGTCAGGGAGTCACCAATAGCGGCGATGACATCAATATCTCCCGGTCGTAATTTATCCAGAGTGGTGGGCGGACTTTTCGATCTCGTGCCATTTAGGGGGCATGGGAACTCATCCCATCGTCGTGGTCTTTGTATTTTACCGGATATCCAATTGTAGTTGTACAGGCGGGACCAATTTTTCGAGGCACGTTGTAGCAGAAGACGTCGTAGGTTTAACAGCACATCTCTTGACTCATCCAAATTAGTGACCAATAGCTTACCATTACGTGCCTTGGTGGGATGGAAGCTGGTCTTTTCTATTCCCGATATCTTGAGAAAATAATCTATGTCATTTTGTCCATGGATTTCGGGTACGGCTGATAGGGAGGTAAGTAGGGATAGCGTCAATATGTGAATGGGTTTCATTTGAGGGGTTGTAAGCTCTGTAAAAATATCGAAAGAATATCGGAATTAGAATATTTTTTCAGGGCTCCATACAAGGCTTGGATTTTTTTAAAGAATATTTTTCAGGGCTCCATACAAGGCGTGGATTTTTTATTTAAAGAATATTTTGTCAGGGCTCCATACAAGGCGTGGATTTTTTAGAGAATATTTTTTCAGGGCTCATACAAGGCGTGGATTTTTTAAAGAATATTTTTTCAGGGCTCCATACAAGGCGTGGATTTTTTAAAAAATATTTTTTCAGGGCTCCATACAAGGTGTGGATTTTTTAAAGAATATTTTTTCAGGGCTCCATACAAGGCGTGGATTTTTTAAAGAATATTTTTTCAGAGCTCCATACAAGGTGTGGATTTTTTAAAGAATATTTTGAATATTTTTTCAGGGCTCCATACAAGGCGTGGATTTTTTAAAGAATATTTTTTCAGGGCTCTATACAAGGCGTGGATTTTTTAAAGAATATTTTTTCAGGGATCCATACAAGGCGTGGATTTTTTAAAGAATATTTTTACAGGGATCCATACAAGGCGTGGATTTTTTAAAGAATATTTTTTCATGGCTCCATACAAGGCGTGGATTTTTTAAAGAATATTTTTTCAGGGCTCCATACAAGGCGTGGATTTTTTAAAGAATATTTTTACAGGGATCCATACAAGGCGTGGATTTTTTAAAGAATATTTTTTCAGGGCTCCATACAAGGCGTAGATTTTTTAAAGAATATTTTTTCATGGCTCCATACAAGGCGTGGATTTTTTAAAGAATATTTTTTCAGGGCTCCATACAAGGCGTGGATTTTTTAAAGAATATTTTTTCAGGGCTCTATACAAGGCGTGGATTTTTTAAAGAATATTTTTTCAGGGCTCCATACAAGGCGTGGATTTTTTAAAGAATATTTTTACAGGGATCCATACAAGGCGTGGATTTTTTAGAAATATTTTTTCAGGGCTCACATAAGGCGTGGATTTTTTAAAGAATATTTTTTCAGGGCTCCATACAGGGCGTGGATTTTTTAAAGAATATTTTTTCAGGGCTCCATACAAGGCGTGGATTTTTTAAAGAATATTTTTTCAGGGCTCCATACAAGGCGTGGATTTTTTAAAGAATATTTTTTCAGGGCTCCATACAAGGCGTGGATTTTTTAAAGAATATTTTTTCAGGGCTCCATACAAGGCGTGGATTTTTTAAAGAATATTTTTCAGGGCTCCATACAAGGCGTGGATTTTTTAAAGAATATTTTTTGAGGGCTCCATACAAGGCGTGGATTTTTTAAAGAATATTTTTTGAGGGCTCCATACAAGGCGTGGATTTTTTAAAGAATAGTTTTTCAGGGATCCATCCAAGGCGTGGATTTTTTAAAGAATATTTTTTGAGGGCTCCATACAAGGCGTGGATTTTTTAAAGAATATTTTTTTAGGGTTCCATCCAAGGGTTGCCTTTTTTAAAGAATATTTTTTTAGGGTTCCATCCAACGGTTGCCTTTTTTAAAGAATAGTTTTTCTGGGTTCCATACAGGTCGATTTTAAAGGTTTCCAATCACTATTACTTACTTCTAGTTTACAAAACTTAATTTTTTTCTAAAAAATTCACTTTCAGTTAGAAACGAAAAAAATACGATTCACGTTCTTAACACTTCCGCTAATTGTTTTCAACTAAAAGAACTTCACACATTGGAGATGAGCCTATACAATATTTTTTTTTTTTTCTGCCGTCTTCATTCGTTTTGTTTTGCTTTTAACCTTTCATTTCGTTGACATTTGTACACCTTTCAAGTTAATGCTTAACAGAACATGATTCCTGAAAAAAAACACACACACACACCAACTTTTGAACAATAAAACAAAATCACACACACTCACAAACAATGAAGTAAATGAAGCAATTTAGAACTTGACATTAAACAATGAAAACAAACATCGTAAAATTATTAACAATATGTGACAATCGAATGACGGTAACAACAACAATTGTTTTTGTTTTTATTTTGACATCGGCTAGTTATGGAATAATAAAAAAAATAATGTGCGCTTAAACTTAAAGTAAGTATTTACATTGAAGCGAAAGTGAAGCTAGAGAATGGGTTTCGGGGGGTTAAACAAATTTGGGATACCCTACACTAAACGGTGTCTTAAACATATTTTTAACCAGTGAGCGGAGCAGTATAGTCGGACGGAGCCGACCATACGATACCCTACAAAACTATCACGGAACTCTAACTTTCTACGGATTTTTATTCCGAGCCTGGGCAATATTTCCTGATAGTTGCATCCTTGTACCCGATTAGAGGTCAAAAGTGCCTTTTCCTTACACTGACATATTTTCGAATATTAACTGTATTCAGTACAGTCCTTCAAACAACTTGTCCATATTGTTGTGTTATGATGATCGCCTTATAATTATGGACTATAGATCGACTCGAAAAAAAAACCAGTGAGCGGAGCAGTATAGTCGTGCGGGGCCGACCATATTATACCCAACACAACTACCACGGAACTCTAACTTTTGCGTATGTTTATCTCGAGCCTGGTCAATATTTCCTGATATATTGCACCCTCTTGACCGATTAGAGATCAACAGCACATCTTCCTTACACTGACATATTTTCCGAACATCCCAATATTCAGTACATACCTTCTAATTACTTGTCCAGATCCCCTTCACAGTGGGATGTGTTGTGATTTGCGGCTTGTGGCCTATATATAGACTCGAACTTCATCCCAAAATTTTAATCTGATCATCATCGAAAATTATAGGCGTTGTCCTTGACCATACCTGGATCCTCAAGGAAACTTTCAAAGCGATCAGCGCTATATTTCCGCCCTCCAGTGTGGTAATGGGTTACTAAATAATATCTCAGTACGTAAGCACCTGTAAATAATTAATTATATCTGCCAATATTTTGTATCAATTTAAAGGTCAACCACTCCTATTTGACATACTATGGGTCTATGTCCTTTAGGGGCAAATATATATGCTATAGAATACAAATTTTGTCATTTTTATTCACAAAACTCAGGGTCCATTTGAACCGCTAAATAATTATCAATATTTATCAAAAAAGGGATTCTTATTCTTTGGTCCGATACCCTTCTTTTAAGCAAAAATTCGCGATGTTCTCGCGATGTTGGAGCAACAAAAAAAAACGACAAAAAGTAAGTATTTGGTCCATTTCATCCCCTAACCATTAACCAACTTTACCAAAAACAATATGGGTCTTCATTGGGCAGAACCCATCTTACATGCATAATTTCGTGAAGATTGGTCTATAAATGTGACCTGTATAATTATAATGGACCGACGGAAGGACGGACGGACACACATATCTAGATCGACTCAGCTAGTCAAAATATGACGGTATACTTAAAGGTGGATCTAGGACCAATATTTCGCGGGGTTACAAGCTCCTGGGGCTGCACAAAGCTATAATACCCTGACAACATAGTTGTGTGGAGAATACAAATATACGTTTTCTATAGGCGATGAAAAAAAACAATAAACCAGTAAGGAAAATAGTAAAGTCGTACTGGGCCGACTATATGATACCCTTCACCACTTTGGGTATATTGTACCTATGTATCCTAACAATTTCATGTCCATGTTCCCTCTTTCGAGCAGATTTATCGCCGACTACGTAACATGGGGACAATTTATGGAAAACGATTTATAGCAAAATTGATACACGCTATTCGGTACGCCGCGTTGTTAAAAATATAATCTATATGTGGGAGCTATATCTAAATCTGAACCGACTTTCACAAAAATTAACACACATCTTTCTAGACTTAATTCAGTACGCTATGCCAAATTTTGTGCAAATCGAAGGATATAGGGGCTTTGGTACAAAATTTACTTTAAATCGGACGAAAATATATATGGGAATTATATTTAAATCTCAACCGATTTTCACGAAATTTTACACACATCGGTTTTGATTTAATTCAGCACGCTATGCACGCTATACAAAGGGACTTTGGTGCACTATATACAGAAAATCGGACGAAAATATATAAATATATATTGGAGCTATATCCAAATCTGAATCGATTTATAGGAAATTTAACACACATCGTTTTAGACTTAATTCAGTACGCTATGACAAATTTCGTGCAAATCGAAGAGATAAAAGGACGTTGGTACACCATATATATTAAATCGGATGAAAATATATATGGGAGCGATTTTCACGCAACTTTGCACACATCACTCTAGACTCAATTCAGTACGTCGGGCCAAATTTCGTGCATATCGAAAGATATATAGGGACTTTGGTACACCATTTACCTTAAATCGGAACGCAACTTTGCACACATCACTCTAGACTCAATTCAGTACGTCGTGCCAAATTTCGTGCATATCGAAAGATATATAGGGACTTTGGTACACCATTTACCAAAAATCGGACGAAAATATATATGGGAGCTACATCTAAATCTGAACCGATTTATAGGAAACTTAACACACATCATTCTAGACCTAATTCAGTACGTCGTGCCAAATTTCGTCAAAATCGAAATATATATATCGACTTTGGTACACCATTTACTTTAAATCGGACGAAAATATATATTGGAGCTATATCCAAATCTGAATCGATTTATAGGAAACTTAACACACATCATTCTAGACCTAATTGTGTACGCTCTGCCAAATTTCGTGCAAATCGAAATATATATAGGGACTTTGGTACACCATTTACCTTAAATCGGACGAAAATATATATGGGAGCCTAACCCAATCTGAACCGATTTTCACGCAACTTTGCACACATCACTCTAGACTCAATTCAGTACGTCGTGCCAAATTTCGTGCATATCGAAAGATATATAGGGACTTTGGTACACCATTTACTTTAAATCGGAAGACAGTATATGTGGGAGGTATATCTAAATCTGAACCGATTTTTCCCAATTTCAATAGATTTCGTCCTTGGGCCAAATAAGTGACTTGTGCCAAATTTCATCCAAATCGGA